TGCATGGCTCAGCCGGTCCCAGTCAGGTCCCCAGGCCATGGACCGGGGTCGTCCACTCCGCCGGTCCTCGAAGGCAACCTGAGAGCACAGGGAGCCTGAGGGTGAGCCAGGAGGATGAGGGTGCAGAGCCTCCCCTCGCCTTCCCTCGGCTCAGCCAGGGCCAGCAGTGCCCTCTCTGCCCTGTCCTGCTCTTGTGCCAGCACCAGCCCCCCCCGGCAGTGCTGTCCCCCCACCCAGGGCAGGCAGGGACCCCAAGGTCCCCCATGCACAGTGCCCCTCACCCTGTTGCCACTGCAGCTGTGGCCCCATCACGCTGTTCCCTGCTGCCCCACCGCTGCGTTGCCTTGTCCAGCATCACCCTGCAGGTGCCACGCGTCACTGCCACAGCCCCGGCTGTGACCGCGCTGTGCTCGCCACCCCGGCACTCACCATCTCCCGTACCCCGTACTGGCTCTCCACCTTGGCCCGCAGCTGCACGAAGCACTGCTCCATGCGCTCGTGGAAGGGCCGCAGGTCCTCCGTCACCTTCCGCCCGTGGATCCGGATCCCCTCTGCCAGCAGCGGGGTCTGCGGGAGAACAGAGCCAGGTCCGCCTGGGTTGGTGGAGCTCCCATGGGACAGGGACGCTGGGACTTGGTGCCCCGGGGCAGCTCTCCCCTCCGCTGCCGGAGGGATGCTGCGGGCTGTACCTGCCAGGCGATCAGGTCCTTCAGCTTCTCGATGTTCCCCTCATCCTCAGGGTGCTCCTGCAGGTAGGACTCCTGGAAAAAGGCCTGCAACAACCCTCTCTCAGTCCTGCCGGCGGCTGGCTCAGCTCCGGGAGGCATGGGATGGCACAAAGCCCTGCCAGTGCCTGCAGCCTCTGGCCCCGGCGCAGCACCTGCCTGTCCTCACCATCTCGTACTTGGCGAAGCCCCCCATGACCGCAGGGTCCACGATGCCGTTGAGCAGCATGGAGAGTGGGTTGATGGGCAGGCTGGGGTCGTTCTGGTGCCGGTTGATCTCACTCATGATTTTCTCATTCGTTTTCATCATGGTCTCGATGGCGTTTTCCAGGGGAGAGATGGTGGTCTGTGCTCAGGGAGCGAGGGAGGGTCAGCAGCTAGCTGACCCAGCGACCTGCCCACCCTGCTACGGCCAGCAGGGTCATCTCTCCCTGGTCCCGGGGCTGCACATCTCACCCCATGAAGCCCCTCGGACCCCTGGCACCGGCTGCCTGGAGCTGAGCCGAGGGCTCGCAGTCCCTGGCTCCGAGCGC